GAGCAGAGCTGCAGAGCCTCAGAGAGGAGGGACAGCAGCTGCTCAGGTTAACACAGGTAAACACAAGTAACAGCTGAGGTCAGGTGGGGGGGGGGGGGGGGTGGAGTCAGGGGCTTGATGACCATGTGTGGTGCTCAGGTGAACAGGAGTCTGTATGGAGTTCAGGACTCCTCCGAGACCTGGATCAGATACCTGGACCACAAATTGATGACAAAGTCCAGGAAGGCCTGCCAGCTGCTGCTCAGAACGCTTCACTTCCTGTCCGACAACATGAACCCACAGGTACACAAAGCTGGGAACACCTGTGTCTTCACTTAATGTGAACAGTGACTCCTACAGACCACAAGGGGGCACAATGTGTCAAGGTAATGTTTGCCAATGTAGACCTAACAGCGAGCTCTCACCACAGCTGAACCGTTATCGTCTGACATAAGAATTACTGTGTGTGTGTTTGCAATGGTCACATCGCAGGCACTTATCTGTTGTTTGATACAAACAGGAGACGCTGCTACTCTCACAGATACTCATTGTGTGTGTGTGGTGTGTGTGTGTGTGTGTGTGTGTGTGTGTGTGTGTGTGCAGAGCAGCAGTGGTGCATTATTGGCGATCAGTCTGCAGCTGCAGGAAACAGGAAGTGTGTTTGAGCCGTCAGTGGGCGTCGGCCTCCCTGACCTGCTGAAGAGCATCATCAATGATATTTATGCAGCAGCCAGTCTACCGCCCGGGCTCTCTGTGAATCGCCATGGCAACTACCAGGTTACTCTGACATCACACTGGGTGGCAGTAGCTCAGTCTGTAGGGACTTGGGTTGGGAACCAGAGGGTCACCGGTTCAAGTCCCGGTGCTGACCAAGCTTGGAAGTTGGTCTGGTAGCTGGAGAAGTGCCAGATCACCTCCTGAGCACCGCCAAGGTGCCCTTGAGCAAGGCACCAAACCCCCTCCCCACCACCAGCTCAGGAGCGCCCACTGTGGGCTGCTCCGTCACTCTGACATCTCTCCCTTAGTGCATGTCCATAGGATCCTGTTTGTGTGTGTGTCTGTATATATATACTTCAGCCTATGTGTGTGTTCATGGCTACAGAGTGTAAAAACTGAAATTTCCCCTTGCAGGGATTAATAAAGTAAATCTTCTTCTTCACTCATTCAGTAATAACTCGTCTACTCTAATTCTGATAGCGAGACACTTTACCTTTATCCTTTATCCTGGTCTGTCTGTCTGTCTGTGTGTCTGTGTGTCTGTCTGTCTGTATCTGTCTGAGTGTCTGTGTGTGTCTGTCTGTCTGTATCTGTCTGACTGTATGTGTGTGTCTGTCTATCTGTCTGTGTGTGTGTCTGTCTGACTGTATCTGTCTGTCTGTCTATCTGTCTGTCTGTGTGTGTCTGTCTGTCTGTATCTGTCTGAGTGTCTGAGTGTCTGTCTGTATCTGTCTGACTGTCTGTCTGTGTGTGTCTGTGTCTGTCTGTCTGTATCTGTCTGACTGTATCTGTCTGTCTGTCTGTGTGTGTGTGTCTGTCTATCTGTCTGTGTGTGTGTCTGTCTGTGTGTGTGTGTCTGTCTGACTGTATCTGTCTGAGTGTCTGTCTGACTGTATCTGTCTGAGTGTCTGTCTGACTGTATCTGTCTGACTGTCTGTGTGTGTGTCTGTCTGTGTGTGTCTGTCTATCTGTCTGTGTCTGTGTGTCTGTGTCTGTCTGTCTGTCTGTCTGTATCTGTCTAAATGTCTGTCTGACTGTCTGTCTGTCTGTGTGTCTGTGTGTCTGTCTGTATGTATCTGTCTGTCTGTATCTGTCTAAATGTCTGTCTGACTGTCTGTCTGTGTGTCTGTGTGTCTGTCTGTATGTATCTGTCTGACTGTATCTGTCTAAATGTCTGTCTGACTGTCTGTCTGTGTGTCTGTGTGTCTGTCTGTATGTATCTGTCTGACTGTATCTGTCTAAATGTCTGTCTGTCTGTCTGTCTGTGTGTCTGTGTGTCTGTCTGTCTGTATGTATCTGTCTGACTGTATCTGTCTAAATGTCTGTCTGACTGTCTGTCTGTGTGTCTGTGTGTCTGTCTGTATGTATCTGTCTGACTGTATCTGTCTAAATGTCTGTGTGTCTGTGTGTCTGTGTGTCTGTGTGTCTGTGTCTGTCTGTCTGTCTGTCTGTATCTGTCTAAATGTCTGTCTGACTGTCTGTCTGTCTGTGTGTCTGTCTGACTGTCTGTCTCTGTCCAGGTGTCCCTGCAGCAGCGTCCTGCTCTCTGTGAACTGGAACAGGAAGTGATGTCACACCTGGTTCAGGTGAGGAAGGAGGCGGAGCATTTGAGGGCAAAGCTTGACAGGTACTCGTATTTGTGGGAGAGCGACAGGAGGGGGTGATGGAGGATTTCCTGACGTACGGCAGACAGCTAGAAGCTGACGAGCTGGAGGCTGAGGTTACTCCGCCCACCCTAAAGGACTTCAGGAGAGAGGTGAGACACACCTGTGCAGGTGTTCTTTCTGTCAGACATGAATTATTAGTCTTTACTGCATCTACCTGTGAGGCTCTTTATTTCCTGGTAGTAATCTCACCTGAGCACATGAACAGGTCAACCAGATGTCCAGGTAGACCTGTAGGTGTGATTACAGCAGCAGATTGATGCTCACCTGTGTCTCCCAAATCTGAGATCAACACACTGTGACCTCAGCTAGCGCCCCTGCTGTCTCTAAACCTTCATGTTCCTGTTCAGATCGAGTCCCTTCAAACACTCAGCACTGAGGTGGCTCACCTGGATGATGTCATCACTCTGCTCGGCTGGCTCCAGGTCAACCTCCAACCTTTCAGAGAGTCCCTGCTGTCAGTCATTAACGTCTGGAAACACATGTACACCGGGTACCTGCTGGACTCACTCACAGACAGGTAAACTCACCTGAGACCAGCTGGACTCACTCACAGACAGGTAACTCACCTGTGTTTTTGTGTGTTCAGTGTGCAGCAGTGAGTCAGCGTGTAACGATGATGAAGAGTCGTCCTCCTCCTCCTTCTGTCTGACAGAAAGCGTGGTCCTGCTGGAGGCTGCAGGAGTGCAGCTTCCTGAGCACCTGGCAGCTCAGATACAGGTAGTGACATCAGTGACATCACTGCTCACCTGCAGACAGGCTGTATGTTGTGTGATGTTCAGTCTTTGTGCTGCTTGAATACAAGAAAGTCTTTCTCATGTTACAAACCTGACCAATCACAATCATTGTATTTCAAACTCCCACTGTAGTCCCGCCCACACCTGTTCTGAGACAGAAAGTCACGTGATGCTGAAAGATACCTGTCTTAAATGTGTTAATACTTACCGTCTGTGTGCACAGGTACATCATGATGATGTCATCACTGTACCTGTGCACACACCTCCTACACTCATCGGTGACCCTGAGATCACTGTGTTGCATTCAGGTGCATCATGTAAATGTAAGTGTCTGACCTGTAAACTGTTTGTGTTTCAGTGTTGATGATCTGAAGAGGAAGCAGAAGACATTGAACACATCGCAGGAGCAGCAGTGACAAACGCCACGCTGATGATGAATGTCTTGAGGTGAATTAAAGTGAGCAGCTTGAAGATTATCGCTGAGGTTTCTGTGTTTCATTCAGGGTGGAAGTGGTTCACATCCATCCTCGTTTGTTTTGATTTATTCAAGAAGAGTAATTCAAAGAGTCAGGAAAACAAAAAACTATCTCTAAGTAAATCAAGTAAAAGATTCAATAATAAAATAACATTCAGTCAAAAAAAACAGATGCAGACATGAAGAATCTTTAAATAGAGGGGGAAAGTTTTTATAAAATTCTAACATTTCTTACTGTATCTCTAAATTAACTGATTTCATTGATTTGGAAACGCACGTGAAGTGACGTTTTACGTTTAACTTCGCACAGCATTGTGGGAGTTAAAATACAATTCATGTCCTGAAAGGATTCAACCGATCCATACTGCACAAAACCAGGAAGTTAGTATCCATCCTGAAATGATCAGTATACTGAGACGGACCCAAAAACTGACCACTGATCGACCACGAGGGTTCAGAACGACGACCACGAGGGTTCAGACTACTGAACGACCACGAGGGTTCAGAACGACGACCACAAGGGTTCAGACTACTGAACGACCACGAGGGTTCAGTCTACTGAACGACCACGAGGGTTCAGAACGACCACAAGGGTTCAGTCTACTGAACGACCACGAGGGTTCAGACTACTGAACGACCACGAGGGTTCAGACTACTGAACGACCACGAGGGTTCAGTCTACTGAACGACCACGAGGGTTCAGAACGACCACGAGGGTTCAGACTACTGAACGACCACGAGGGTTCAGACTACTGAACGACCACGAGGGTTCAGACTACTGAACGACCACGAGGGTTCAGAACGACCACGAGGGTTCAGACTACTGAACGACCACGAGGGTTCAGAACGACCACGAGGGTTCAGGCTACTGAACGACCACGAGGGTTCAGTCTACTGAACGACCACGAGGGTTCAGACTACTGAACGACCATGAGGGTTCAGACTACTGAACGACCACGAGGGTTCAGAACGACCACGAGGGTTCAGAACGACCACGAGGGTTCAGACTACTGAACGACCACGAGGGTTCAGACTACTGAACGACCACGAGGTTCAGAACGACCACGAGGTTCAGACTACTGAACGACCACGAGGGTTCAGACTACTGAACGACCACGAGGGTTCAGAACGACCACGAGGGTTCAGACTACTGAACGACCACGAGGGTTCAGAACGACCACGAGGGTTCAGGCTACTGAACGACCACGAGGGTTCAGTCTACTGAACGACCACGAGGGTTCAGACTACTGAACGACCATGAGGTTCAGACTACTGAACGACCACGAGGGTTCAGAACGACCACGAGGTTCAGAACGACCACGAGGGTTCAGACTACTGAACGACCACGAGGGTTCAGACTACTGAACGACCACGAGGGTTCAGAACGACCACGAGGGTTCAGACTACTGAACGACCACGAGGGTTCAGAACGACCACGAGGGTTCAGTCTACTGAACGACCACGAGGGTTCAGAACGACCACAAGGGTTCAGTCTACTGAACGACCACGAGGGTTCAGTCTACTGAACGACCACGAGGGTTCAGACTACTGAACGACCACGAGGGTTCAGACTACTGAACGACCACGAGGGTTCAGACTACTGAACGACCACGAGGGTTCAGAACGACCACGAGGGTTCAGACTACTGAACGACCACGAGGGTTCAGAACGACCACGAGGGTTCAGGCTACTGAACGACCACGAGGGTTCAGTCTACTGAACGACCACGAGGGTTCAGACTACTGAACGACCATGAGGGTTCAGACTACTGAACGACCACGAGGGTTCAGAACGACCACGAGGGTTCAGAACGACCACGAGGGTTCAGACTACTGAACGACCACGAGGGTTCAGACTACTGAACGACCACGAGGGTTCAGAACGACCACGAGGGTTCAGACTACTGAACGACCACGAGGGTTCAGACTACTGAACGACCACGAGGGTTCAGACTACTGAACGACCACGAGGGTTCAGAACGACCACGAGGGTTCAGACTACTGAACGACCACGAGGGTTCAGAACGACCACGAGGGTTCAGGCTACTGAACGACCACGAGGGTTCAGTCTACTGAACGACCACGAGGGTTCAGACTACTGAACGACCATGAGGGTTCAGACTACTGAACGACCACGAGGGTTCAGAACGACCACGAGGGTTCAGACTACTGAACGACCACGAGGGTTCAGAACGACCACGAGGGTTCAGGCTACTGAACGACCACGAGGTTCAGTCTACTGAACGACCACGAGGGTTCAGACTACTGAACGACCATGAGGGTTCAGACTACTGAACGACCACGAGGGTTCAGAACGACCACGAGGGTTCAGACTACTGAACGACCACGAGGGTTCAGACTACTGAACGACCACGAGGGTTCAGACTACTGAACGACCACGAGGGTTCAGAACGACCACGAGGGTTCAGACTACTGAACGACCACGAGGGTTCAGAACGACCACGAGGGTTCAGGCTACTGAACGACCACGAGGGTTCAGTCTACTGAACGACCACGAGGGTTCAGACTACTGAACGACCATGAGGGTTCAGACTACTGAACGACCACGAGGGTTCAGAACGACCACGAGGGTTCAGAACGACCACGAGGGTTCAGACTACTGAACGACCACGAGGGTTCAGACTACTGAACGACCACGAGGGTTCAGAACGACCACGAGGGTTCAGACTACTGAACGACCACGAGGGTTCAGAACGACCACGAGGGTTCAGTCTACTGAACGACCACGAGGGTTCAGAACGACCACAAGGGTTCAGTCTACTGAACGACCACGAGGGTTCAGACTACTGAACGACCACGAGGGTTCAGAACGACCACGAGGGTTCAGTCTACTGAACGACCACGAGGGTTCAGTCTACTGAACGACCACGAGGGTTCAGAACGACCACAAGGGTTCAGTCTACTGAACGACCACGAGGGTTCAGTCTACTGAACGATCACGAGGGTTCAGATTACTGAACGACCACGAGGGTTCAGAACGACCACGAGGGTTCAGTCTACTGAACGATCACGAGGGTTCAGATTACTGAACGACCACGAGGGTTCAGAACGACCACGAGGGTTCAGTCTACTGAACGACCACGAGGGTTCAGAACGACCACGAGGGTTCAGAACGACCACGAGGATTCAGTCTACTGAACGACCACGAGGGTTCAGAACGAGCACGAGGGTTCAGTCTACTGAACGACCACGAGGGTTCAGACTACTGAACGACCACGAGGGTTCAGAACGACCACGAGGGTTCAGAACGACCACGAGGATTCAGTCTACTGAACGACCACGAGGGTTCAGTCTACTGAACGACCACGAGGGTTCAGAACGACCACGAGGGTTCAGACTACTGAACGACCACGAGGTTCAGACTACTGAACGACCACGAGGGTTCAGTCTACTGAACGACCACGAGGGTTCAGTCTACTGAACGACCACGAGGGTTCAGAACGACCACGAGGGTTCAGAACGACCACGAGGATTCAGTCTACTGAACGACCACGAGGGTTCAGTCTACTGAACGACCACGAGGGTTCAGAACGACCACAAGGGTTCAGACTACTGAACGACCACGAGGGTTCAGTCTACTGAACGACCACGAGGGTTCAGACTACTGAACGACCACGAGGGTTCAGTCTACTGAACGACCACGAGGGTTCAGTCTACTGAACGACCACGAGGGTTCAGACTACTGAACGACCACGAGGGTTCAGTCTACTGAACGACCACGAGGGTTCAGTCTACTGAACGACCACGAGGGTTCAGTCTACTGAACGACCTTTTCAGAAAGAGCCAAGCTCATAATCCTGACTGTGTGGGCGGCCATCTTTGTTTGGGTCGTTTGAGAGCTTAATCTGCAGACTGTAGTTAATCAGGAAGTGAAAGCAGACTACAGACATGATTTGGATCACTGTTACACCACCATCTGCTGCCTATCACGCCGTCCCCCCCTGCTGGGCCACTCTGACCACGTCATGCTCCATTTGATTCCTTCATACAAGCAGAAATTAAAGCTCTGTAAAGCTGTGGAAGAATTAAAGGCGTGCTTAGAGTGTTCTGACTGGGATGTTTTCAGGTCTGCCACTAACAGTCTGGATGAGTACACAGAGGCTGTGATGTCATACATCGCCTTCTGCCAGGACGCACTACGCTGAGTTACAACAACAACAAGCCCTGGTTCACAGATCAACTCAGACGGTTAAGGCAGAAACCGGAGGAGAGTTTTCAAAAGGCTAAATACACCTTCAACAGGGCGGTAAGAGATGCTGTCAACCTGGCCCTCCACCTCATCCTCAAGCATCTGGACTCAGGTGGTCTGTCTGACAGGAGACAGCAGGTGAAGCTGGGTGCCATCATCGATGACAAACTCACCTTCGAGCTCCAAACTGAAGCTGTCATCAGCATGTTCACTTTCTGACGAAGCTTAGGAGTTTGAATGTTGACAGCACTTTTATGAAGATGTTTTATTCCTGTTTCATTGAATCAGTTTTAACATTCTGCATGGTGACCTGGTACGGATCACTCAGCATCAAAAACCACAACAGAATGCAGATCATTGTTAAACTGTGTGTCACAATCACAGGCTCACCACTCTGACCTCTTATTTATATAGCACAAAGTGTCTTAAGAAAGCTCTGTAAGATGAGAAGATGAGAATTTAAGTTAATTTAAAATATGATGCATCATTTATAACTTCATGTTATTTCATGTGCATACCAGGGAAACAATGTTAAAAGATTTAAAAACAAACTCATGTTGGTTAATATCATTTTTGCTCCCTCCGATAAAACCTGCATATTGGACCTTTAATTTGGTGAGTCATGTGCGCAGTTGATTGATGCTTTGAGCTGCGGCAGGCACGGGAGCATATCGTTTTTCTACCGTGTGACAGACTGTAATTTGAAGTTTATTTTTCTTTATTAAACGTTTTGAACCGGATTACATCTCCTGTGATTCGCGTCATGGTCCTCATGCTCCTCCTGGCCCTCATGCTGCTCCTGGTCCTGGTCTTGACATGTTGTGATAGTATTGATGAGTTAAATAAACACAAAGGACACATCAAGATAAATAAATGATTTAATAGAATTTTATCTGTTGAAAAGCTCAGATTTCATTTAAACAGAACCCCACACACACACACACACACACACACACACACACACACACACACACACACACACACACACACACACACACACACACACACACACACACACACACACACACACACACACACACACACACACACACACACACACACACACACACACACACACACACACACACACACACACACACACACACACACACACACACACACACACACACACACACACACACACACACGAGGCACGATGATGAGGAACCTACAGAGAAATATGATCTAAAAATTAAAGTCCTCGTTAACGTCTCCATGGCAAAACAAAAACAAACATGGACTCTATGAGCGTCTGTCTCCCCGCAGGCTGGGAGAGGTCAGAGGTCACAGAAAGAGCTCACCACAGCAGCCAATCATAGTGCAGCTAGCGGCGGTAGACTCCAAAGGCCACCAGGCTGAGGAAGATGGTGACTCCGACCAGCGAGGCGGTGGCCGGGGCTGTGAAGAACTGCCGGTACTGGATCTGACAGTACCACAGCACGGACAGCATGAGGACCAGCAGGGGCACCATCAGACCCCCCACGTTCAGAGCCACCTGCACCTGGTCGGCAGGCCGCGGCCCCCCTGCCGCCCCCCGGCTGGCGTGCTGGGAGATGTGACAGTGCAGGACACAGTTATGGACCAGGTTTAGAGAGGCCATGGTCTGAGCGTCGTCCTGCAGCAGCTGACCCTGATAGATGAGCCGCACCTGCTGCTCCTGACCCGCAAAGAAGGTTCTGGAGGGTCAGAGGGAAGGTCAAAGGTCAGAGACGAGGTCACAGAGAATGCAGTATATTGCAGTATAATTACTGTGTTTACCGTTTGATGTATCCGATGGTGTCCTGCGGTCCGACCTGAGCCGTTCTCTCCGTGTCGTTTAAGAACTTCAATCTGACCACCATGTTTCTCTGAGAGGAGGAGGAGGGCTCTCCTTCTCCTCCATCTCCTCCATCTCCTGACTCCTCCCCCCTCCCTCCCTCTTCACCCTTTTCCTCCTGGGTGGAGGAGTTAATGGGCGGAGCTTCTGCCTGAGAGCTGTCAGTCACAGAGCTGGAGGGGGAGGAAGAGGTGGTGTTGGTGGAAGATGGGGGTGTTTCATGGTGGGCGGTGCTGGTCCTCAGGGAGGGGGCGGGACCTGTGGCAGAGGTGAACAGGTGTTCTGGGGGCTCAGAGGTGCGGGTGGAGACCCAGGCAAGCAGCAGCACCAGGAGGAGCAGCAGGGAGGCGAACAGCAGCGTCACCTCGTCTCCTACGCCTTCAATCAGAGCCATCGCCCACGGCAACGCCCGCTGAAGTCACACAGGTCACTCACCTGCACACAGGGGGCGGGACTACGCATCAACACCAGAGAGAAGTTTATTTACTGACACTGACGGAGGTTTTAAGGGTCATTCAACATTTTACACACTGATGTCATCAGTCACATGACACCTGTCTGTTTCCATGGTAACAACAGTAAACGACCTACACAGCGGCTGGGAAGTGCAAACCAACATCAAGTGTGATTTTTT